GATTTGGACTCTAAATTTCCAAAATTTCGACTCAGCCACCCGTCCCCCACGAGTAACTTGTACTTCAGATGGCTGACCTTACCACACTATAATACCTTCAGATGCCCCTGTAACTGATGGTGTTAGTGTTAGTGGACTTTATAGCGTAACTTGTAGTTCCTTGGTGGTTTTTGTGTTTTCTTGGTTGAGCCGACGGTTTCATTTCTGTGTTCTGTAGTGATTGGCCTGTGGAAACAATAATCCAAGTGGATGTCATTGTGTTCTATGTATGTGACTTTTGCAACAGGTTCAAGGCAAGATGCACGTCATGAAGCATTCGGCCCGTGATCTCAGTGTCTGGTAGCTTATGTAGCCGTGGTTGTATGGGTGATCAAAGATGATACTCTGCATATCAATTTAAGTGTGAAGTATTTGTGCTCTGCCCATACAACACAGCAACAAAGACAGAGTTACATAGCCAGTGGCTGGCAATGGTGAAGTAATCATATGAATATGTGTTAGTATTCCTGACCTATTGTAAGCAAGTAAGCTCATCATTACTACAAGACTAATAGTATTACTAGCAGCAGACATGACGTCATTCTCCTGTTTACATACCTCTAATATCTGTATCTACAGCTGCAGCAGTAGTGGGTACCATGGCAACACAGTATCTCCCTCCCGTGTTCAGTTTTACTGCTCTGCACACACCATCGTGGTGTGGTTGGCGTGTGTTGTGTGGTTTTGTTCTCAGCATCTTCAGCATAGTACACGTAGTGAATCATGTACCGGGTTACTTTCCATCGCCTGCTGCCTCCGCCGCCGTTTACGTATCATTTTTATTGAGATGACGTGAGTTTACCGTGATCAGTGATTTCCCCGTCACCCCGGCTTGCCTGCTGTCATACTGAAAGCTCTCCAATCTATTGAATCTATCCTTTTTGTTCTTGCCTGCAACAGCAATCAACACTCTACCATCTATTTGCTGTTGTTTTGTACGTCGCTGCACGTTTGAGCCAGCTACACTGCACTCGCGTGTGTATATGTGTACGGTCTGTCTGAATATCTATAGTCACATGACCAGTGCATGGTTACATCATCAAGAGTACACACAGCTGTACTGTGGGGTGCTGAAGAACGGTTGGGTTAGGTGAAAAACGGACATGCAGGCTGGAATTTCACCCTGGCACAGCATACCAATGTATAGACAGTAACTCAACTGTGCATAAACCATAGTACATGAAAATAGGAATGCTCTAGGCTACTACCAGGCTGACCCCCCAGTTCTTTCTAACCCAACAGTACAGTGTAAGTTTGACATCATCTACATGCAGTAGATATCCGCAAAGTTACATGGTGGAATGTACTATGTGTACTGGGGGTAATAAAATAATGACCTCTCTGGAATGGTGCGCTGTACTAGGGGTAATAATGCCTTCTCTGGAATGATGCCCTCTATTGGGGGTAATAATGCCCTCTCTGGAATGGTGCACTCTATTGGGGGTAATACTGCCCTCTCTGGAATGGTGCACTCTATTGGGGGTAATAATGCCCTCTCCGTGGAATGGTGCCCGGGGTGCAGTGCAGACCGTGACTGAATGCTTGAGATCAAGGAAATACATTACAGCCGTATCATGTGTGATGAGGTGATGCAGCATGGCCGCGGTGCTGTGTGGACTGAGAGCAATGGAGTTTCCGCGCGTCTCATCACACCAAGACTAGATAAACTCTTCGTCACAGTCATTAGGAGCAGCAGAGTGCCGGCTACAGCTGATCAAGCGTACCACCAGCAACAATGAATGTATTTCAGTAAATACTGGCATTGGTGTCAATATTGACAAACACGTACATCAGCAATCGACTATCAGAGCAGAAGCAGAAGAGCAGTGAACACCATCAGTATAATTATACTGTATATACATATCTATAAGACTATTGTAGAGTGTACTCAGCACTTGCTGGTGACAATAACCACATCAACAAAACCAAGAGAAGAATCGTGACGGAGAGCTACGTAGTGTGCAACAGTATGAACAGAAGTATTGTCTGCAACATCAGCAGTTGCACTACCAGTAACATCATGTATTCTTGTGTGTATACTTGACTGTGAGGAATTATATGCGTAAATCCTAGAATAAGCAGAAAACTGATGATTGAACTGTTTCTTCAGCAGAGTCATGCATGCTACACAATACAATCATTGAAAACAGTACACACACAAATTACATTCTACTCAAGTGAATTCAATACTCAGTGTGATGTGTGCTGCACGCCTACACACATGCACACACACACACACACACACACACACACACACACACACACACCATTCAGTGGAAGTTGTGCAATCATTGACTGTTGGTTGGTAGATCAAACTTGAACAATACGTCAGCTCTGTCCTTGCCTACTCCTTCAGCAACGGCTGGAAGTGATAGAAAGTTTTTAAAGAAGACATTATACATGCATGCACACACACACACACACACACACACACACACACACACACACACACACACACACACACACACACACACGATGCACACAAAGATGCATGCACAAACACACGTACGCACACACACACACACACACACACATGCACACAAATCGCACAAAAATGTTGGCCTTCTGGAAAGACAGGCAGTTCGTAGGCAGTACGGTCATTCTCGTATACAAATTCAACACACAAAGAAATGACCTGCATATAGAAAATAGAAAAGAAAAATGACCAAGGAACTACAAGTTACGCTATGATATCCGCTAACACCACCATTAACCCAGACCCACGTGTAAACACCCAGGTCTCCGGGCATACCTCTGCATATGCACATGCGCAAGCGCATGCGCACGCACACACACACACATTCATGTACACAAACATAATTGCAGACACTCCAACGCCCCGTCTGTGCGTACAACGACGTACTCGCGCACGCACTCACAAGCGATCAGCACATAAGTTGGGAGTTGCCATGACTTCATTTTGATTACTTCAGCAAAGTGATGATAGACCAGTTCCAAGAATGCAAACGATAATATTTTGCGTCATATCATCACATTCGGTCGTCAGTAATTCACACTGCCCACCGGGGGCAGACGCACGAACGGCCCACCATCATATTGTATGTATGTGGTGTAACGCCTCATGCCAGGCAGTTGTGTGAGTTTTTGGCGTCGGTGGTCGTTCGTTCACCCTCACTGGGCAGTATGCGGTCGGCCCTAGCGGGCAGTATGCTTTTGCCCTTGGCGGGCAGGTTGTCGGCCTCGGTGGCTGTTCATTTGCTCAATAGGCAATATGATTCAGCCCTCGGTGGGCAGTATATAATCGGTCCACGGTGGGCAGCATTCTTTGGCACTCGGTGGGTACTAGGCTTTATCCCTTGGCGGGAAGTTTGCTGTAGCCCTCGGGGGCAGGCTATTGGCCTTGACGGCCGTTGTGCACCCTCGGTTGGGCGGTATGCTTTAGCCTTCAGTAGGCAGGTTTCTGGCCTTGGCGGCCGTTCGTGCGCCCTCGATTGGGCTATACACTTATTCTTGCGGTCGGGCTATAATCATGCGCCCTCGGTCGGGCTATAATCATGCGCACTCGGTCGGGCTATAATCATGCACTCTGGATCGGGCTATAATCATGCGCCCTCGGTCGGGCTATACGCTTCTTCGAGCTCTCGGTCGGGCTATAATCATGCGCTCTCGATCGGGCTATAATCATGCGCCCTCGGTCGGGCTATACGCTTCTCTCGCGCCCTCGGTTGGGCAGTATGCTTTAACCCTCGATGGGTAAGCTGTTGCCCTGGGCGGCCGTTCATGCGCCCGCAGCGGGCATGTTTCTGGCCATGTCGCCATTTGTGCGCCCTCGGTGGGCAGTATGCTAACGGTCCACAGCGGGCAGGATTACTTAGCCCTCAGTGGCTTGGCTGTTGACCTCCCCAGCCGCTCATGTCACCGGCCCATGGTGGGCAGCTGCAGGCTAGCCCTCAGTGGCCAAGAACTCAAACAACTGCCTGGCATGAGGCGTCACACCACACACATACAATATGATGGTGGGCCATTCGTGCGTCTGCCGCCGGTGGGCGTTGCGAATTACTGACGACCGAATGTGATGATATGACGCAAATATTATCGTTTGCTGTCTTGGAACTGGTCTTTCATCACATACTATTATAAATGAAGTCATGGCAACCCCCAAACCTATGTGTTGAGTGCTTGTGAGTGTGTGCGTGAGTACGTCGTTGTACGCACAGACGGGGCGTAGGAGTGTCTGCAATTATGTTTATGTACATGAATGTGCGTGCGTGCGTGTGTGTGTGTATGTGTGTGTGTGTGTGTGTGTGTGTGTGTGTGTGTGCGTGCGCGTGTGTGACCTGACTTGCGTGTGTACCCGTGGGCCTGGGTTAAAAGCTAAAACTGCATTTTGACACATGAAGAAATCAACTGCAAAGGAACGCTCCTTCACATCCCGTCAATTCAAGAGCTTGAAGAAGACACGTCTTCCGATATGACACCATAACACTAACAGGATGTCTGTACAATTTTGCCAGCTTGTAAATCGTGCAGGGACAGTCACGTGACACACACTCACAGCAATATGCCAATATTGCGCGTGTGCCAGGGCTAACTAGACTTTGCTGTGCAAAGCCTACATGTTACTGAACAATCAGCTCATGTGATAACATTGCACGACACTGACCGACGCTACTGGCATTCTACAACTAACTGGTTAAAGCGCGATGCACAATATCACTTATGCGACGAGACGAGCGACGAGCAATGCGATCGAAATGTTTTTTCTGCAAAATTTTGAATCGCACCTCCGTCGCAGGTCTCATCGCGGAAAGTTGACCCTAGTTCAACTTCTGCGACAAGCGACGAGCGATGCACATCACTTTCTACACGGCGGGCGCACGTGACAGCTCGCGTACAGTTTTGTACTGTGCATGCCCTGCAACGATGTGCTGTGCATTGTGCATCAAAGACTCTTCGTGTATTCGAAAAAGACTTTGGTCGACGCTCATCGCATTGCAGAAGTGATAGTGTGCATCGCGTTTTACTACTCCCTGGTACAGACCAGGAAGTAGTAAAATACTGTTATTTTACTACTCCCTGGTACAGACCAGCTGAGCTGGACGTTTGCTGCAGACTTTATGGTACTGGTCAAGTACACACATCTGTAGATTGAGAGTGTGGCTAGGGTGACTAGTGTATTGTCTGTCTGATCATCATAATTCATCAACAAACAGGTGTACCCGTATTTCATACACTGATCAACACTGTACATCTACTACTGTACAACACATACCTGGGAATATGCTGATGTTCTGCAACGTCTTCCTGCAATCAATCCGAGATGAACTCCAGGACAGTAGAGTTGCTATACCATAGCCTGGAATTGTACAATGGAGGTCGAAGCTTGTCCATAGAGCATGGGTTCCCGTACAAGTGTACACCCTCCATCCTCATGATGCCTGGTGACTGCAGCATGGCTTGAATGCTATCATCGGTGATCTTGCAGTTATTTAGGCTGATCAATCTCAAGCTTGTGTTCTTCTTCATCATATCCACCAGGGCATGCACTGTGGCATCATCAATCTCATTGTTTGCCATATCCATCCATTCAATACGCGCATGGTGATGGAGAGAGTGTAGGATACTTGCACCAACTTCATCACTCATGGCCGTGTGGCTAAATGATATGAAGCGCAGCTGGTGGAATCCGGAGAGAAGCTGGCATAGCAGTCTGCAATCAGCATGACTGGGCTGTATATCATGAAACACTGGGTTGTCCTCCAGACCCAATGCACTGACATGTGATTGTGGTGATGTCACTGCCTGTAGTATACTCACAACACCAGATAGCTGTATCCTATTCCTGAGCAGACGAAGGCATTTCAGCACTGTGTTGTCAGCAAGGCCAGATGTTGCCAGAGCAGTTGCTCCAGCATCGGTAATGTTACAGGTTGCTATGTCCAGTTGGTCTAGGTCAGTGTTGGTTGCAAGGTACTGACCAAGTGATGACATCATGGAGTCATCGACCTTGCCTTGTAGGCCACCACCATGTACACTGACCAGATGATCAATTGACTCAGTCCGTACTGAAGTACCAGTAGCATAGCGGCTGCCAATGTCGATTACGTCACCACCACATTGACTAGACGTAGCCACTTCCTGTAGAAGACGGATTGTTACACCACTGCCGCTCAGATAAACCACGCATGGTGGTAGTGTTGTGCTGACACTCCCAGTGTGCTCACGACTGCGACGAGCTTGCAGAAAGTCAACCACACTAGCGGCTAGCTCATCAGTCAGTCTGTTGTTGTTAAAGAAGAGATGCTGTATGGTATCATGAGAATGGAGACTGGATAGTACACATGACACGTCACTGTTGCAGAGTGAGTTCGTATCCAGCCATAGACTGTAAAGGTGTGGTAACTGTGTGACCAGTGTTGCCAGGTCAGATCCACATCCACTATCCAGACTGCAACTTCCCAGTGCTAGATCTGTGAGATTGTTACACGGAGCCAAGTTGCTCGCAAATGCTGCCAGACCATCATTGCCAAGTACTGTATGGTGTGCATTCAGGTACGTTAGACTTGGGTGTTTTACACATCCAGCAAGTGCTGCTCCATCTGCAGATCCACTGGTCAACTCTGTGTTGCTAATGTCAAGAACCTGGAGGGTACGCCGTGTTGATCTAGAGAGTGTGCTTGATATGCTTGCCAATGGTGCTGCAGTGAGATTGGCACCACGCAAATCCACCTTGACGCATTTATCCAGTTGATCAGATAGCAAAATGACACTGTCACCTGACAGATTACAATGGCCGAGATCCAGAGACTTTACATTGTCTACAAGCTCCAAAACAGTATGTAAAGCCATCACATCAACAACTTCAAGGTGGATTCCACTAACATCAATTCCATCACTGGCCAGGAGGTTGGCTGACATAGCATAGCAGCTATGTGTGACTATGTCAGTGTCCTGATTGGGATATCCCTGAGTGCGGTTATGTTGGAGTGAAATGTGGCTTTCCATCAAACATCTCATCATGAACAGAAGCATCTTCGTTTTGCTCTTGAAAGAGTAATCACTGATGCTGTTTTCAGACTTCAGAGCCAACAAAGATGAATGTAGAAGGTCTGGCTTGAGTGCTCCAAAGACAAACTGCCAGAAGACAAGTGTGTTCAAGTCTGTGCCGACAGTGTTGATGCAGCTGCGGATGATGTCTACGCACGAGTCAGAAGAAATGATGCATCTCGATGCACACCACTCTTGCAGTGTCAAGTGAGTCAAGGACACAGTCTGAGTGGAACCGACGAACGACGGATGCATACCAGGGTTGAGCAGTAAGCCGAGATCTTGACAAATGGACTGGTGGAGGGTTGACAGCGTGGATGTAAACGTAGCCATGCCCCTTTGATATGTTGCAAGACACATCGTGTAGAGATTGTGCAATGCCTTGACTAGCTCCACAGCATGGTGATCACACTCCTCATCATTGTTGCTTGTCTCCTTCACATAGCGCTCCAAATGATGTTCTATTACCACGGGGATACTGACAAGATCATCACAACTGAAGTGCCGGCCACCACTGCAGTGACTGATGACGTCATGTGCAAGCCGTACTTGACCAAACTTCCTTCCTCGCCGCTTTTCCAGCTTTGCGACTGAGGAGCGTAAGTAGTGGTCGTAGAAAAGTGTCACACTGGAGGGTAGAGAGTTGTTGATGGGATATTGCTGAACGAGCAGAGCACATAGGAGTGGAGATTGTCGAATGGCTTCCTTCAGCAGACAGTTGGGCGGCTGTGAGAGCTCTGTCATACACTTCTTGGCAACCTCCTCTCCGAGCTGTCGTGAGCAGTACGCAAAGAGCTGGTCTGTCGAGAAGCCGAGAAGTCGGAAACGTAAGCGGAAATTCTGGATATGGTGATACGCTTCATCACACGGTCGGCTAGTTGCGACTACAATAGCATCAGGTAGTAGTGAATGGTTGCTGCTACTGCTCCTCAATATTACAGCTTGGGCTGCTGATCCTTTGCCAAACCCACCACTGCCAAGTTCGTCGATGCCATCAATAACGATCAATACCTGGTCAGAATGCTCTGTTAGGTACCTTAGCAAGGTAGATTGCTCCGGTTTACTGATGCCCAACTTGTCCAAACCAAGAAATACAAACCAATCAGTCGACTGTGGACGTGTCAAATCACGGCATGGCACGTAGAAAATGAATTCAATCTTTGCCAGATTTCCAGTCGTTGTCTCCATGATGTCGGCAATGACTCGTTTGCTCAGTGTTGTCTTTCCCTGCCCAGCGTTCCCAATTACGATGCAACTTTCCAGAATGTCTGTGTCAACTGTGTCATCACCACCACCAACACCAACACCACTTTTGCCAGCGCTAGTTACACCTTCATAATAATGGGGATCAGACAAGAGCTGCTTAGCGCTGGACAGAACAAACTGCCTTCCTCCTTCCACTTTGTCACTCTTATCTTGTCTAGCTCCTGGGATAGCAACGCCTGGTGTACGGTCAGATATTGGCTGTCTTCCAGTGACACGGCGAGTTGCAGCTTGTTGCGCACGATACGTCAGCTGCAGAGCATCTTTCTCCGTCAGAGCCTGCATGGGCACGAAGCAATCCTTGACATCGCCGGACAAGCAAGTTAGATCTGAATGATCAGCGGTGGTCTTGCACAGATGTGTATTCACTCTGTGTAGATGTTGTTTAAGACGTTGAATGTGCCCACCATTGTCTGCTCCATCATCATTCACTAACAGTATATGACATGTCACTGTGCCATCGTTAGCTGTGTTGCTGCCTGCACGCATAGTAGCAACATCAACTGTGGTCAAACACAGGACAGGAAAGAGGAAAAAGAACAAATTGTTTGATGGTATATCATTGTACAGATGTACTGTGATGATATGTTGACAAGTATATTCCTAAATGTAGACAGTGTGTGTGTGTGTGTGTGTGTGTGTGTGTGTGTGTGTGTGTGTGTGTGTGTGTGTGTGTGTGTGTGTCTGTGTGTGCGAGTGTGTGTGTGTGTGTGTGTGTGTGTATGTGTGCAACATCACCAGCAGAGGCATCTTCTGACACACTTGAGTCACCGGTTACAAACAATATGTCCTGCGAACGCTGCAGCTTCCACTGCGCCCGCTGCAACCGCTGTGTGCTTTCGCGCCAAGGCATGACATGTCACAAGTGCAGCCGTGGCTCGGCCAGAGCAACCAACACAGACCGTAGCTCCTTCTGTATCGTTTGCAATTGCGGTCGGCGTTTCAGTAGACCACAGGACCTATCCCGTCATCGCCCCTACTGTTCCGAACCTGCTCAACCCCCCATGGGGTCCGCATAGCCAGAATATGGCAGCGCGTCCAAGGTCCAAGGTGTATGTGTGTGTGTGTGTGTGTGTGTGTGTGTGTGTGTGTGTGTGTGCGCGCGCGCGCGTGCGTGCGTGCGTGTGTGTGTGTGTGTGTGTGTGTGTGTGTGTGTGTGAACCACTGATCGTACTCTTTACATACACACATACATAAGAACTGAACTGAATGGCGTCAACAAAAGAAACATTCAGGGCAGCGCCGTGTGATTTTTTGTTTAGTATCTTGTATGCGTATTGGTAACCGATTTGTTTGCGTGGTATCTGGTATCTTCACTGATTAATTGTTCCTGTTTCTGTAGACGTGTTCTTCCTTGCTGTTCATCCATTCCTTCGTGTGGTTTTCTTTTCTGAATTTCGGCGATGGTTGAGATGTTTGTGTCAGTCCATGTCTATTTCTGTGTGCGTTTTGTCTCTCTGTGAGTTTTCGTAACCCCATTGGCTGTGTTGTGGTTTTTCGGTCAACTGTCCAGTGTGCGTCCTGTGCTGCAAGATGCCTGGATACCCAGTTCTGCTGCCACTGTCTTCTCGGTCCGTGAGTGCCTTCGGTCTCGCCGCTCCCGGCAGCATCGCGGAGTCCAGCGTGCGGCTACTCGTCACGTGTCCAACAATTGTGGTTATACATGTTGTGTTTTATTCTCGCATTTTTATGCTCATTCACATGTTCATTTCTTTCCTCTTTCTGTCTTCTCCGATCCGTCTTCTTCAATTTTTTGGGCTTCATTTGTTTCGCTTTCATCCTCAGGATCTAGGAGAGGATGTCTTTTTTCGGTGGGGGTACACGCTGCTGAATCGTGGAACACGCTGCTGAATCGTGGAACACGCTGCTGAATCGTGGTACACACTGCTGAATCGTGGTACACGCTGCTGAATCGTGGTACACGCTGCTGCGCCTTTGCAACAGGTGTGTACTCACATGCATAAAGCCTAGTTCACATTCGACGGAACGCTGACGGTACGGGACGTAAGGCCTGTCGGGAAGGCTGGGATGAACTGTAAAATCTTGTACGATTCGTACGACACGACATGCTGCAGTCGTTTCGTCGTTCAGCAGCGAACGACGCCAGTCATAAGGCCCGGCCCATGACAGGGTGACCTTTGGCCCTATTTTCTTATTTTCGGTATTTCTTTTCAATTATTTCTCCTTGAATGAAGCGGAATCAAGTTCACAATACCAGTATTTCATGAACACCAAAAATGTAGCATCGAAAGGCGTGCCATTCAAATTATAGCTCCAGGGAATGATAAAACAGTTCGTCTGCCACGCTCCTGAACTATCCCAAAATACCATAAGTGACACCAGACCGTATCTTGCAAAAATTCAACTCAAGTCGTGTTAGCCATTCTGCGATTTATCATGGGAAGCACAGTGTTCGAAATGCTAAAAATTTCCAAAGTACGAATCGGGAGTAGTCGGCGCACAACGCCGTCTCCTGTTCACACTCAAAATGCAGCTGTTTTGTACACTTGCATCCCCGTCTACGCCCGTCTACGGTATGAAAAGTTGGATCGATCCAACTCTTCCCGTCGCTTCCCGATCTGTACGGCAGTACGGCTGCGTTCCCGTTCCTGGTGTTCACATTGGACGCCGTCAGACTGTCCCGTCGCTTCTCGTTGATCCTTACGTCACGTCCCGTCGTGCCCCGTCGAATGTGAACTAGGCTTTATAGTCACCCGCTCTGTACACACTTTTCGCACTGGACCCCATTGGGACAGCATTGTATCGCTTACCAGTGCACCTTTTGTGCTGATGAGCGCACCACTTTTGCCCTGATGAGTGCACCACTTTCCTGGATATTATTCACTTGTCAGTTGTCATACGTCAGTTGTCCAGACGTCTCCTTACGACCTTAGAGAAAGAACAAAGTATTCTCTCCAACTAAACAGCTGGCCTTCTGTTGTGTATCGCGGCCGCAAGAGGGGTATAGTTCACTTTTAGCTAGTGACACTTTGGTGTAATGAGTTGTATTCTGCTGGTAAGGTACAAAACTAAAATTTCCCTTGACAGCAGAAGCTTGGTTGATGGCAATGTTTAAATTGGGGACGTTCAGACTGTAAGTGGTATACCCACACCCCCAAGACCATTCTTGTGACCATCCCCATTCTGGACATATCAATTACCTGTCTCGTGAGAGAATGTCTTGGCCGTTGGTCGCTGGTCAACGGGCAACAGGAGAAGCATTTCTTGGTACTTTTCATTGTACAATGGACCCAAGTCATGGATTGCATTGCAGAGTAGTTTATAAGCACCTGTGCCTCCAGGACTCATAAGATTGATGATGTGAGAATTATGCACTTCCTTTCCTTCGTATTTCTCCAGACGCAGCAAGGTCTCAATTTCTGTTGTACTTATGAACACGCATTTGTCCTGCATAGCTTGTCGAAACCTTGTTGTATCCAACTTATAAATCCAGGGTAAGATATTGGAAATGAACTTGGGATCACCAAATGGTTCATCTAAAGAATACAAAAAGACACAAAACCAAATATACAGGAATGTCTAACTAATCGAAACAGCAGGGAAAGATAACCATGAGTAATAATTATGAAACAGTATCCTG